ACACACACACACACACACACACACACACACACACACAGAGAGAGAGAGAGAGAGAGAGAGAGAGAGAGAGAGAGAGAGAGAATATCTTTGAAATTTTTAGAGAAAAATTTCTACTTAAAAAACCACCAAGGTTTCGGGCCAACAACCCCCACCTAGGGCAGAGACTGTGCCCCAGATCCCTTCCCATACTCAAAGACAGCTTGACTCCTAGGTGCTTCTACACAACCAGGATCACAGTGGGACCCCTGTGGGGCCCAGTGGAAGCAGACCCTATCTGCCTGCCCTGCTGGAGACACATCTTCCTTCCAGCCCACAACTTGGCCCACAGCAGGGCTGGTGCTCCAGACCCCCTCCCACAACTGGAAACAACTTGAGTACCAGGAGTTTCATCACAACCAGGTGTACAGGCTCACAGGTGGGATAGGATCCAGTCCTAGACATCAAGGCTAGCTAACAGCTGAAATACCCAGATTGTGAGAGGCAAGCACAAGAACATATGCAACAGAAACCAATGCTTTTTGGACCATCAGAACCCAGCAAGCCCTGGTTACCCTAACACAGCTGAAAAGCAGGACTCCAACCTAAAATTTCACCTCATGAAGATGATAGAGGACTTTAAGGAAGATATAGATAACTCTCTTAAAGAAATATAGGAAAACAGAGGCAAAAAGGTAGATGGCCTTAGAGAAGAAACAAATAAGTCCCTAAAGAAATACTGAAAAACGCAATCAAACAGGTTAATGAATTGAACAAAACAAATCAGGATCTTAAAGTGGAAACAGAAATTACAAAGGGAAGCAACTGTGGAGATGGAAAGCCCAGGAAAGAGATCAAGAATTATAGATGCAGGCATCACAAACAGAATACAAGGAATAGAAGAGAGATTCTCAGTCGTAGAAGATACTATAGAATACAAATGCCAGCCCAGGCTAGCAAAACTGTCTATCATCAGTGGTGGAGAAACCAAAATATTCCATGACAAAACCAAATTTAAACAATATTTTCCACTAATCCAGCCCTACAGAGGATAATAGAAGGAAAACACCAATACAAAGAGGGAAACTACACCCAAGAAAAATCAAGAAAATAATCATCTCAAAACCTACCCAAAAGAAGAGAACTACAAAAACATAATACCACCTGTAACAACAAAACTAACAGGAACAAACAATCATTGGTCTTTAATATCTCTCAACATCAATGGAATCAATTCCCAATTAAAAAGACATAGGGCAACAGAGTGGATACATAAACAGGATCTAGCATTTTTGTGCGTACAAGAAACATACACACCTCAGTGACAAAGATTGCCACTATTTCAGAGTAAAAGTTTAGAATTTTTATTTCCAACAAATGGTCCGAAGAAACGAGCTGGAGTAGCCATTCTAATACCCACTAAAATAGACTTTCACCCAAAAGTTATCAAAAGAGATGAGGAAGGAATCTTCATACTCATCAAAAGAAAAATCCACCATGATGAACTCTCAATTGTGAACACCTATTCCCCAAATGCAAGGGCACACACATTTCTAAAAGAAACTTTACTAAAGCTAAAAACATACCTGATCCTCACACAGTAATAGTATGAGACTTCAACACCCAATTCTTACCAATGGACAGATCATGGAATCAGAAATTAAAGAGAGACATTGTGAAACTAACAGAAGTAATGAACCAAATAGATTTAGTAGATAACTACAGAACATTTCATCCTAAAACAAAAGAATATATATTCTTCTTAGCACCTCATAGTACCATCTCCAAAACTGACCTTATAATCAGGCACGAAACAAAATACAGATACAAGAAGACTGAAATAATCCTGTGCATTCTATCAGATCACCATGTACTAAGGCTGGTCTTCAAGAACAAAAACAACAGAAAGTCCACATACTCACAGATACTGAATAATGATAATTATTCTGATTAATGATAAATCTGTTAGGAAAGAATTTAATAAAAAATTAAACACTTTCTAGAATTTAACAAAAATGAAGACATACCATATCAAAACTTGAAACATAATGTAATTAGTGCTAAGAGGAAAATTCATAGCAATTAGTACCTTCATAAAGAAATTGGAGAGATCCTATACTAGTGACTTAACAGATCATTTGAAAGCTCTAGAACAGAAAGAAACAAACACCCAAGAGGAGTAGACAGCAGGAAGTAACCAAACTCAGGGACAAAATCAACCAACTATAAACAAAGATCAATAAAACTATCAGCTG